GGTCTGTAAATAATCGAGTCTCGACCAGACAATCCAGTGATTGACATCATGAGCATCGATCCACACAATTGGGATCGATGACATGCATCAACCAAGTCAGCGAGCCTGACCACCTATTCCCGTTAGTCGCCCCTTACGACAAGCATATCCCCACTTAGGACAAGCACGGGTTGTTGAAGGCCAATTCTACCCCGTATCATTATGGATCTGATACAATGTATAAGTTTCAATGACTGTCAATTTGCCGAGGTCGCCTTAAAGTCCCTAGTTCACACCTGTCAGTTGGACGGCACCAGGGATCGATGCTGGGGTACATGCATTGTTAAAGAGCGTGTGTAAATAAATGTATGCCGTCGATGACGCAATGCCGTCGATGTGGATATCGACCACACAGACCCACATCGAGAGATGCACACGGGTTTATATAACAACATGTTCTTCATCGACATTACCCGTATTCCCAAGGCGTTCTTTCACTTACAATGCCTGCATAGTGTTCACACAACCATAGCGGTATAATTGGTATTAGTGGTAATGGCATCATCATCATCATCATCATCATCATCATCATCGTCGTCGTCATCCACACCACCACCACCACCACCATCATCATAATCATCATCTTCATCATCATCATCACCACCACCATCACCATCATCATCATCAACATCAACATCATCGCCGGTTTATCAGACGGTTTATTACTCGTTAACGTCAGATTTGCAAAGTCAGCAAAACATTGATAAAGCATTACTCCCCTTCCCTCTTACCCCTCTGACAAATAGAAGTGAGTTAGTGAGTGAGGTATAGAGTTGAACTTCAGTCATATTTCGGCATGCTGGCTAAATGTAGGTTGAAAGCCCGAAAAGACGCAGGTCACAGTGAGGATATGGTGCTGACTAAACAACAAAACAAAATCAGAAGGAAAGTGAGGTGAGGTGAAAAGTGGTCGCGTATACCACCCAAAACAAGTTAAAGAACAGCCACAATTTGAAGGCTGTGTGTTGTAATACCCACCAGCCATTTCTGATTAACTATAGTCATATGAAAAAATCTGATGTTCTCTTAACTTCTTTTGATTAGTATATGTTGTCCTTAGTGTTAATTTCACTCACTTTGACTTGTCAAATGAATTATTTCACTTTATGAAATTATACATTGACTCCACTTATACCAAAACACATTGACCTACACACGGCTAAGACACTTAACCAATGAGACAACACAAACTGTGTTCCTCTATGATGGATGAAGGAGGACTTCCTACTTTAACGGGAAGTTTTCCTGTTTGCGAATGTGAGCTGTTATACTGTACTCTACTCCCACCAAGTCCAGCTCTTGTTATCAAAGGGTCTGTGATAGTCAAATTACGTCTACTGGTACATCTCGCGCGCATATACAGCTCCATCTGTCCCGTTAGCCTCGTTCTGAGATGGTCCCAGCGGGAAAGCAGGGTCAGTGAAGGGAGATAATAGGCACACATTATACTGTCTGAACAGCCACTAAATAATCCCTAATAAGACAGTTATTAACGAGCTAAGAACAACGACATCGTATTATGAAAGAGTAATGCTAACGAATATGAAAGACATATGGGGTCAAAGTTCAATCTGATTGTAGAATGTAACTGTCCCACAGTCCGGGAACCATTATTTCCCCTTCGCCCCAGCCCTTGCTGTAATGCTGTAGCCCTAATTGAAGCAAGTCTAGATTTTCCACAGGTTCTGAATCTCCCATCTCACTAAGACTCCTTTTCAGTTTAAATAGAGTTGTTTGTTTCTACCCAAATTATATTTTCAGAGGCTAAGAGTATGTCTACCGGTCCTTACCGTAATGCTATAATTCTAACCGAAGCAATTCTAGATTCTCCTCTAGTTTAGAAACTCCAATCTCATTGGGGCTCATTTTCAATTTAAATGTAGTTGCTTGTTTTGATCAAAATAATATAATTTAAGAGACTAAGCGTTAGTCTATGTGTAACCCCGAAACTACTTTTCTGTGTATATTAATTTTGGTAATGTTGTTGTATGGTACTTTGCGTTTCTTTAATAACGTCATCTGTCTATTATTTTAATATTTTCAACGTGGCATTTTGTGTGTGGTATATATGTATTAATTCAGTGTGGTTGAATGGTGATATATTAATGCAATAATCTCAGTAAATTCATTTGTTTCAAATGAGGTATTGTATTAGGTCCCGCTGAAATGAGATATTCATCACCTGTGTACTATTGCTTGATTATGTATTGGGTATTATCAATACATTGTATTGCGGTATTCTATCTCGTCGTTTTAATAGTGCATTTGGTTTTGTTGCAGTAGGTTATTCAACGTTCATTGGTCGTGTGTGCGCGTCGAGATGTGCGTGTTGATACGTGTTTCAGGGCAGACTGTGAGAGATGTGTGTAGATATGCGTGATGCGTGAAGATATGCGTGATGCGTGAAGATATGCGTGATGTGTATAAGAGCCAGGAGATTGTTTGTGCGTGATGCATAACAGGCCGTATAATGAGACCTATGAGAGACAACAAGTAGAATGTGCGTGATGCGTGTAGATATGCGTGGTCAGTGACAGGGCGAATAACGAGACCTATGAGAGACAGGACGTAGCGTGTCCATGATGCGTGTAGATATGCGTGGTGTGTGACATGGCGTACAATGAGGCCTATGAGAAACAGGAAGTTGTATGTGCGTGATGCAATATTACAGCTATATGACGGCGCTCTGTAAAGAATCGAATCTGGACCAGACAATCCAGTGACTGACATCATGAGCATCGATCCACGCAATTGGGATACGATGTCACGCATCAACCAAGTCAACGAGCCTGACCAACCGGTCCCGTTAGTTGCCTCTTACGACAAGCAGAGTCGCCCTTCACGGCAAGCATGGGCTGCTGAAGACCTATTCTACCCCGGATCTTCACGGGTCGTTTCCGTAGTGACCTAATCAGAATGAGGATAATTGGCAGTCATGTGACCTATCACCTGTGGTGGTGTTTATTCAGAGTACGAACTTATTGTTTGCTTTTAACGGTGTTGAAGAATGACCTCTAGTTAATTATAATATAGAAAAGGGAGGGATGTAGATGTAGTTTGTAAAGCACAGAGTATCAGAGTAAAATACGTCAGTACATCTACATGAAATGAGAAATACCATGACTACAACGTTCTCATGAAGGTAAACCAGAGACACAATTTGCCGTTATCGTCCTTGTTCCTAAGAATATAAGACTAACATCTAGATTCTGAAATAACCATATTTTACAGAAAAAAAACAGTTGTTAAACTAGTGTAATGATATATAAATTCATTTTCAGATACTGATACTGCAGTAATCTAGACTTGCCAAACATTATAGACTTGCATGGGCTATATTGGATATATTTGCTTCAGGGTCTGAATGACAGACTAGAAGAATGTCAAACTAATACACCAGCGACACAATATGCCGTTATCGTTCATGTTCATGCTCTGAAACACTCTATCATTACCGCCCACCGAATACTACTACTACGATGATGATGATGATGATGATGATGATGATGAAGTAGATTTATAAAGCCCCACATCCACACACTGAAGCATGTTAAAAGTACAACAGGAAGTTGATGAGATACAACAGCCATATACACATACCGTACAAAGAATAAGTTCTACCACCACACCCACACCCACACCCCACCACACCCACACCCACACCCACACCCCACCTCCTCCCCAAAACCACCAATAACGCTCGCCAATGCTAGTACTGACACAGAACTTCCCTATGAAAACCAGAGACCATATAATAGATATGGTCTCTGGAAAACCCTATTATCTACATGTATGGAAGAGTACCATGTATATTTGTATCACATCCATGTATTGCTTACAGCGCCGATAACGGCCTGAGTGCAATCATGTTCTGTACTGTTCTTGCACTGAAGTCAACCGACACGACAATACGTGTCAGTCAACCAACATGCTCATGTATACCAGAGACCATAGCTATTATATGGTCTGTGTATACGCACCATCATGTTTCATCATGAATGGGAAACACTTTGCAAGAAAATATGTCTGACAGGAAACAACGAAACACCAAGCAGTTAAAGTAACGAACATCATTATGGATAAAATATTGCCAAAAAGCGACGCCACACGTGCTCACTGACTTGAACACCCTTGCGTAACAACCAGAATCTCAGAACCAACAACCAACAAACCACAGACCCATGATGGATACAGAGGCTGGCTGCATCCTTCCATTAAATCTCCAGATGATGACACAGAGGAGACAATGACCTTCATCACACAAAGAAAAGAGGGCGATTGATTTCAGCCCTGGATCCAAAATGGAGGTCAGTTACAGAGACACAGAAGTAGCAGAAAACCTCCCAGATGGCAAATAATACCTTGTATAAACAACAAAGAAAATCCAAACAATTTACGCACGCGCCTAAAGTGGGAACATACCTGCCTCACGATAACACGTCTCGCTTCCCCAAGCCATTGGCATGGCTGCTTAGCATGTCAGACTCCGTGATCCATCAGCACGCGTCATTTGGCCCCACCGTGTCTCCCCCTGTTGGTGTATTCACTGAGGGCACTTAGGGTGCAAATCAGCTGGTTATGAAACCACCAGTCTATAGATTATTCAAATAACTCACGTTTTTCATGTATTATGTACATCTATCGTAATAAATTTGTACGGCAAATTATGCTAAGCGGTCAGGTTATACAACAGATTGATAAGACATTAAAGATTTGCTTCTTTTGTTCCACGGTCGACTTTGGAATGAAAACGGAGAATGATTCATTGATTCATTGCGAGTAATTACCATCGCGCTCGCCTCTTCGTCGCCGGCATGATCTGACATATTTAATACCAACCGGCGCAATCGGTTTCACTTATGACTGAAAAGAGGTAAAAACGCGACCGAATTCGACAGAATTGGAACACACGAACATATGTGGTATCCGGATCACTGAAGCTGAGTAGAAAAAGTACCTACCATCGTTGAGGCGATTCCTTTCCCTTTAAACCGGTAGCAGAAGCTTGCAGACGACACGGCGGCCATATTGATTCCGCTGGAATAGCAAGGCGCCTCTGCCTGTGATCGTGAGCGCGGGGCTGTTTCATACAGTCAAGCCGCTGCTGAACTAATTGATTCGCATTTACTGGAATTATGAAGGCAGGTTGGAAGCAACCTTGCACGCGTGATATGGAGAGAGTTTACGCAGTTCCTTCCACAGTTGTAATAATCGTCTGTATGATGTATGTTGTTTCAGTGCGCAAGCGATACAATAACTTCATCTGCAGCGTCTTAGACGGACGTCGACATCAGCATCTGCTCTGACGTAATTACACCATATATTTGTGAATATCGAACTCATATATTCCTCTGTGTATTAAATCTGGAAATGTCGACAGCACGAGACAAAATGGATGCAAGAAAATCGATATAAGAGAATTTGTTTTGAGATTAAAGTGGGTAAGTGTAAAAAGGGGAGAGGTGTTTGTGTGTATGTGTGTGTTGGGTGGTTGGGGCGGGGGAGGGGGGGGGGGGGGGGGGGGAGGATGCGTCTCTTTATGCCTGACGTTCGATCCGGGGATATCTGCTGAGTCAGTAGTTTGTCGCCCCCACTGTCTCCATGGGCGCTAATCCTTCTTGTTAGGACGCATTTGTTCTACCAGCCTTTGTCTCGTACAAAAAGCCATCTGGATATGGTGCGGTTATTGTTCCATGTTTATTAATTCCTATTTCACAATATGTTTATTCAGTATAGTGGTCATATGACCACACTTCAACTAAACCCGCAAACAGTTTATTACATTGACTTATATAGATTTATATTTCTTATTTTCGGCTGTTTCAGTACCCACGATAAAATGAATCATAGATATATTGTTCCACAACTCCCAACACAATGTATAGTACTTTAAGACAGCCCGATTGATAGATAATACGTCACGTATATATTTCTGCAATGTAATGGCTTTGTTTGGAATCACATTTCAATAAACGTAACAAATAGCCCGCTGTGTAGAAGTCTGTCTTTATCCCCGACTTCTACAATGAACTGTTCCATGTATGCGATATAAGAAATAGCCTGCTGTGTCGAAGTCTGTCTTTATCCCCTACTTGTACAATGAACTGTTCTATTCATACGATACAAGAAATAGCCCGCTGTGTCGAAGTCTGTCTTTATCCCCTACTTGTACAATGAACTGTTCTATTCATACGATATAAGAAATAGCCTGCTGTGTCGAAGTCTGTCTTTATCTCCGACTTGTACAATGAACTGTTCTATTTATGGGATATAAGAAATAGCCTGCTGTGTCGAAGTCTGTGTTTATCCCCTACTTGTACAATGAACTGTTCTATTCATGCGATATAAGAAATAGCCTGCTGTGTCGAAGTCTGTCTTTATCCCCGACTTGTACAATGAACTGTTCTATTCATGCGATACAAGAAAGAGCCCGCTGTGTCGAAGTCTGTCTTTATCCCCTACTTGTACAATAAACTGTTCTATTCATGCGATATAAGAAATAGCCGGCTGTGTCGAAGTCTGTCTTTATCCCCTACTTGTACAATGAACTGTTCTATTCATGCGATATAAGAAATAGCCGGCTGTGTCGAAGTCTGTCTTTATCTCCGACTTGTACAATGAACTGTTCTATTTATGCGATATAAGAAATAGCCTGCTGTGTCGAAGTCTGTCTTTTTCCCCTACTTGTACAATGAACTGTTCTATTCATGCGATATAAGAAATAGCCTGCTGTGTCGAAGTCTGTCTTTATCCCCTACTTGTACAATGAACTGTTCTATTTATGCGATATAAGAAATAGCCGGCTGTGTCGAAGTCTGTCTTTATCCCCTACTTGTACAATGAACTGTTCTATTCATACGATATAAGAAATAGCCTGCTGTGTCGAAGTCTGTCTTTATCCCCTACTTGTACAATGAACTGTTCTATTCATACGATATAAGAAATAGCCTGCTGTGTCGAAGTCTGTCTTTATCCCCTACTTGTACAATGAACTGTTCTATTCATGCGATATAAGAAATAGCCGGCTGTGTCGAAGTCTGTCTTTATCCCCTACTTGTACAATGAACTGTTCTATTCATGCGATATAAGAAATAGCCCGCTGTGTCGAAGTCTGTCTTTATCCCCTACTTGTACAATGAACTGTTCCATGTATGCGATATAAGAAATAGCCTGCTGTGTCGAAGTCTGTCTTTATCCCCTACTTGTACAATGAACTGTTCTATTCATACGATATAAGAAATAGCCTGCTGTGTCGAAGTCTGTCTTTATCCCCTACTTGTACAATGAACTGTTCTATTCATGCGATATAAGAAATAGCCGGCTGTGTCGAAGTCTGTCTTTATCTCCGACTTGTACAACGAACTGTACAATATCATGCGGTATAAGAAACAACCCGCTGTGTCGAAGTCTGTCTTTATCCCCCGAAAACAGCATACGGCCATTTCGCTGTCATATATTGAGGGCTCTATACTGTTAGGTCAAGAAACAGTACACATTATATAGTAAGTGAGTGAGTTGGGTTTAACGCCGCTTTTAACAATATTCCAGTCATATCACGGCGTGTCAGCTTAATGTGGGAGGAAAGCCCGAAGTGATGCTGGTCTCAGACGTTTACCACTTCGGTGAAACCCACGAGCACGGAAATGGTGCTGACAAACCTAGAAACATAATCGGGGCGAACCGGGATTCGAACCCACAATCATAGGTTTCTGGCGTGCCTAAGGGACGCAACTCTGCACAGCGAATCGCGGCGCCTTAGACGACTGGGCCATCCGTGCCCCCTTATATAGTAAGAAGACCACTCATGTTACCAACACTACTGTAATATACGTATAAGCTTAACATATATATCCTCAATGTACAAACCTACCACTATTATCTATCAAATCAGGACAGACACAAGTACGTTGTAGTGGACATCTCTTGTTAACTTCCTGTCACCATACAACGCTGTGTTCAGATGAAATCCCTCCATGTTGTAGTACATAGTGCTTCTAATGTTACGATATGTAGGACACGCGAAGAGGAAGTGAAGTGGAGACTCCAAATAAAAAAACGCACGGACAATATTTGAAATATGTCTTTCAACTCTTTGACTATTGAGATCACTGCATCCAATTCTTAAACGAGCATGGACCATTTGACAATATCGACTACCCAAGTTTAAGTCAAATTATATACAATTTTCAGAAGTATCAACTGCCTTTTTAAAACCAGCGGAATTTTTAACATCATCTGGTATCTACCGAAGCCTTTTAGGGACATTTGTTTTTTGTTTGTTTTTTCTTGAAATTTGTAGATACATTCTAAGTTGAAATTTCAATATGCCGCAATAAAACTGGATATGTTTTCAAACAATTGTTCAGAAAAAACTTTGCCTGAACTGAACTGAACTTTATTTACACTCAGGCCGCTATCAGCGATATCAGAGGTACAAAATTATTTCAACAACATAATAATATAAATAAAGAATATATACAAAACATCTTGGCCGAGCATGCATGCATATTTATACAGATTTACCATGGTAGCAATATATGTGAAATTCAGAAAGAGGGAGAGTTACTTGATAGGTTTAAACAATGACATGATGATTTTACAGAATTTGGACAGTTTTCTCAATGTTCCTAGTCGTGAATTATTGAAAAGTAAATTCATTTTATGCATATTGGGTTTAATGTAGAAGAATCTTGTAAAAAATGTTTTCTTTCGTTTTCTAAATATGGACAAATAAACAAATAATGGAATTCATCACCTATGTCAGATAATTTGCAAAGTTGGCATTTCCTTTCTGTTAAATGTATTTTTCTCCATCTCCCATTATATTATAATTATGTTTTTAATCAGTTTTTGATCCACCAAATATTAATATTTTAGTTTTGGTAGTATTAACCTTAAGCCTCCAGTGTATACAATAATTATGAAATGAGTCTAACATATGTTTTAGATCATAAGCTTTTGTGGCCAACAGCACTGCATCGTCTGCGTACAGTAATACAAATAGTGTGACAATATTTTCTATTCGATCATAGAATTCATCTGGTTTCAGTTGGACACCTTTACATAAATCCTGTACAAGAGATGCTTCGAGGTCAGTTAAAAATATTGCAAACAAGACAGGCGACAGGTTATCTCCTTGTCTTACTTCTGATTTACATGAAAAGAAACCTGTTAAATTACCATTACAGGAAACACGTGATTTGATATTCTATTTTGATATTCATATTATAAATAACGTAAAAACAGTTTCCAGATATATTATTTCGTAATAGTTTGACAGAATGACAGATTATGGCCTCTCTGCGTGCATGTGGGTAGCTATCAAAAGACAATTAAGTTACTAAAATCCTTCCTATTAATCCCACATCTGTCGCTTAGTGTTGGTCTTTTGTACTCTGACCAGCTGATACCGACGTCTTCGATTGTAGTTAGAGGCATATGTGGACAACGCGGTGAACCACAATAGAGACACTCTCACGTTAGTCCCTACACCAGGCCACGCTGTCTTACACAGTTATCGATTAAACATCTCCCTTCTGTTTGTGGCCCCATCAGCAACACGCACTTGAACAGACTTAAAGCGGGGACGAGATCATTAGAACCTTACCCGTGAAATATGTCAATAACCTTCGATTCTGTAGTTCTAAGTGCAAGCTCTATCGAAAATTGTGTTTATATCTCCACCCTTTAGTTGTGAATAGGCGCGTTGTTAACACACTGACATGTCAAGTTGACCTGGCGTGCACCGCCATCTTTTATAGTACAGGGTGTTGCCATGTATTGTTAGTTACCTTTCTCAAGTTTGTACTCTTTTGATAAAAGACAGCTCTCCTATGCCTGAAAGGAAAGCTGGTACAGTGTTGGACAAAACGGGTCTCCCCTAACGTCGGGGTCGATAGTAATCGCGCAATTCCGATTGGAAATCTTAAATATGTTGGGTCTACCTACCAAAACATGCTGGCATAACCGACTTTTGACTATCTACTGGTTATAAGTGAGTGAATGAGTATATCTTTACGCCGCCTTTTACAACATTCCAGCAATATCACTGCGGCGGACACCAGAAATGGGCTTCACACATTGTACCCATGTGGGGAACCGAACCCGGGTCTTCGGCGCGACGAGCGAACGCTTTGTCAACTAGGCTACCCCACCGTCCGGAGTTATAGGCTTGTTTCAGTTTGCCCTGTGGCTGACGTCATGAAGCTTTGTGAAAGACAACTGAAAGGAAACTACATGTCACGGACATAGTATTTGTTTGTTTGTTTGTTTGTTTGTTGTTTAACGCGGCACTCAGCAATATTC